TGCTTCAATTTCTTTAATAGACTAAAAAAAAATTTTACAATCTTTATCATATGAATCTATAAATAAAAATATTGTTTAGAATTTATCTAAAGAAGATATAAAAAATATTATATATTATTATTTTGATTTATAGTTTCTTATGCTTAAATATTAATATGGATTAATAAACTTGAATCATAAGAATCATTTGAATTTTTGAATCTTTTTCTTAAATTATTTGATCATCACATTCTTAAAGATCAAATATTAAAGAAAGTAATAGCTAAAACTGACAAGAATATAGAAACAGCACTTAAAGAAAATCCAATAGGTATTATTTTAACTTTTAATAATTAGACTAACATAAAAATGAAGAATTATTAGGAATTATTATTTTAACTTCAGAAAGAAGATCTTACATTTGAAAAGCTATTAATATTAGTTCTGATAAAAAAAATCATATTGAAGTAATGAATAAAACTGAACAAATGCTTTCTGAATTAAAAGCTAAAAAAATAACTGTTTATGCAATTATTACTGATAGTATATTAACATATATCATAGTAAGATATATAAATTATTAAATTTTTTTTATTTATATTTATATTGATGCTTTTAAATTTTTTTATTTAAGAAAAATATTGTAAATTTCTAATAGATTAATTATATTTCTACTATATTTTACCTATTAAATAAATCTTTCTGATTTATTACTTATTTTAAAAATATGAATTATAAATTTTTTATTGCATAATTATGAGAATATTAATATAAAACCTATAAAAAATATATTATATTAGTAATATCAGAAAAGACTTAATAGGATAGCTTTTATATAATATATATTAATCTTTTAAAATTTCAAAAGGTATTACAAGTAAGTTTATATAATATAGTATTATTTATTATATTTTAATTTAAAAATTAAAATTTTTAATTATTATTATTAGAAAATACAAATTACCATTTATTAAAAATCATTATCAATTAAATAAAAATCTATTTTTATTACGTAAAATTTTTAAAATCATTAATTTAGGTATTTTGAAAAAATTTGCATTTATTACTAAATACTAAAATTCTTAATACATATTATAAATTGCTTAATATTTCACAATGCAATAAAATGCATTTATTTCAAGTAAAACTAAGCTTTGAATAATTCAGATCAATCCAAAAAATTTTTTCATATCAGTTCAGTTTTTTTAGTTCAGATTTAAAAAAATTAATCTGAAAATTTTCAGATCAATTCAGATTTTTTTCAGATTATAATTTAATCCAAACTGGAAAAAAATCCAAACTGAATGAATTCAATCTGAAAATTTCTAATTAATTCAAAATTTCAATTAATACAGTCCCTGCCGAAAGTAATGGCGGTGGGAATATTAAATAATATTTTGGTTACAGTTTCTCCGGTATTCTGATTTGACGCCTTATTAATTAGGCTGATTTAGGTAATATGATGTTGTTTTTAATAAAATAAACAAAAAAACCTGATCTTAAATGTTATTTGTTTATTTTAAACTTAACCTAAATTACCACTATACCAAATGCTATCGACATCTATTAAAGCAAATCGAAAAGTCATAAAATATCTTTGGGATAAAAATATTCATAATGCAAAGGAAATTTCCAACTGAACTGGAGTCCCTTTACGTTCTTGTGAAAGATATGTTGCCATTTTATGAAAAAATAGCAATATTCCAGAAATTCATTGATCTGGCCGCCCACGAAAATTAACCCCTGAAAAATGTCAGCACGTCAGAATGATCATTAAGCATGATCATTTCACTACAGTTAGGGAACTGAAAGCTATATTAAAAGAAAATGATTCGGAATTAGAAATCAGTGAAACAACTATCTGTCGAGAACTTTCTAGGCTCAGTTATGTAGTAGTTCTTCCGCGAAAAGTTCCTCTTTTGACCCAAAAAGCGAAAGACATTCGCTTGTCTTAGGCACAAAACCATTTGCAATATGATTGGAAAAGTGTAGTTTTTTCTGATGAAACAACGATCCAAATGTTTCATAATACAACCCTTGCATAGTCCTGTGATGGAAACTGGTTCAACCCATGGTTAAGCATCCCTTTAAAGTGCATGTTTGGGCTGCAATCAATGTTAAAGGAAAAATCGGCATGCACATGTTTACTGAAAATCTTTGATCATCATTTGTATCGCCGAATTCTTGAGGATCAGCTCTATAATAATGCGAATGAATTATTAGGTCATCAATAGATTTTTCAGCAAGATAATGATCTGAAACACAAATCACATAATGTTCAAAGGGACTTGGAAAATTACCTTCCGGATCAAGTTCTTCCATGACCATCTTATAGTCCAGATCTTAATCTGATTGAAAATATTTGGGCTATTTTAAAAAGAAAGTTGAGATAAAGATTAAGAAAATGGTGGCACAGAAAAAAAAAATATCAATTGAAATTTTTTATAATATAATTCAAGAAGAATGGGATGATTTTGACAATGATATAATAGTTAACTGCATCAATAGTATGCCAAATCAAATTATAGCATGCATTGATGCAGAAGAAACGCATACTAAATACTAATTAATTAATAAAAATTGCAACTATGATATTCATATTTTATTTAAAAAAATTTTAATTGGGTTTATTAATAAATCGCATGTGTTAAGTTATAAAAATTGATCACCATTACTTTTAGCGAGGACTGTAATAAATACCTTTAAATTTTAGGACATCTTTTATTAGAAAACCAATAAAGATCACATCTGAATTATCAGAAATAACTTTTAAAAATACAATAAAGTTAAACCCAAATTGTTAAAGGTGACTTTTATTAAAAAAAATACTGATAAAGTTTCTTCAATAGTTCAAGTATAATATTTATTATAAAAAATAGTTATACTGAACTGTCAATGCCAGGAAAATAATGATAACAGTCACATTTAAATTATCAGAGATAACTATTATTATAAAAAAAAAAAATAAATATTACACCTGAACTTTTAGGATATTTTTATTAGAAAAAAATAATAATAAAATCGCTTCTGACAATTCAGTTGTGACTTTTAATATTATTTTTTATAATATAATAAAAGTTGTCTTAAATACTTTAGATGTGATTTTTATTATTATCTTTTATAATAAAAGTCACATACAGTTTGTATAGGACTTTATTATTATATTTTATAATAAAAGTCATCTTTGATAAATTAAATGCAACTTTTATTATTATTTTTTATAATAAAAGTCTCTCAATAGTTTAAAGGCAAATTTATTATCATTTTTTCTAATAAAAATCACCTTTGATACTTCAGATGTGATATTTTCTAATAAAGTTACATCTGAACTATCAGAGATGACTTATATTATCATAACTAAATTGCAGATATAATATTTATTAGAAAAATACTAATAAAATTCATGCCTAAACTATCAGAGGAATTTTTATTAGTACTTAATAATCAGAAATTTCAAAATAATCTAAAAATTTTCAGTTTAGATCAAATTACTCAAAAGTTTAGATCAGTTCAGTTAAGATTGATATTTTTTGGATTTATAATCTGAATTGAACTAAACTAAAAATCTCAGATCAGATCAGATCAGATTAGCCTTTAATTTGAATTGAACTGGGATTTTTGAATCTTTAGTTTTAAGTATAATACAATATAATTTAGTTCAATATTAATCAAAAAATTTGAATATTATATTTGTATCATAATTAATTACTTAATTGAAATAATGTTAAAATGAATAGGAACAATCACTGCTTATCTTATCTTGTTTATTACATTTTAATTGTTGAATGAACAAATTTAATATTAATATTTCTAATATTAATTACTCAGAATTTGATAAATAACTTATATATTATTATTGTATATAGTCTGAAAAGGATCCAAAATATATTTTTCATAATTTTAGATTATTTAAATTTTAATACTTACAAATAATTTAAAAATAATATTTGACGTTATTGGAATTTTGTTAGTATTTCTATAAATGAATTAGAATTTATAACTTTATAAAATTTTTGGAATTTTTATAGGTTTAGCATTTATTTAAAGATTTTAAAGTTATATGAGATTATTATAAACAAATTAACATAACAGATTAGAACTCTACCAGATATCTTAAGGGGTAGGGAAAATAAAGAAGATCTTAGGTTATACATAATAAAATAATCACGTGATAATAGTATTGATCACATGATGATCATTTGATAAAGTGACTTGTTAAGCATATATTTATTATAAACTGATATAGCAACACGTAATACACATACATTCATATTTATTACAACACACATATGTTTAAACGTGTCTTTTATAAAACTTACTCATTCTTCATCTGAGTTATAAGCTCTTGGTTTAAATTCCATTTCATCATATAATCTCTTTTGTTGAGATAGAAAAAGAGAAAAATCGTTGAAAGCTGAGTTTTGTTATTTCTTAGGCCATCTTTAGGTAGTAGGATGCATTAATTATTTATGATTTGTTAAGAATATGAGAGTTGGAAAATATTTCTGACAAAAAGGGTAGCAAAGTCATAAGTATGTATTTTTTTCAATAGACACACAATAGGCATCATAACCTAGTACTTCCAGAAGATTTCTATACTAAAGAAAGTGAATTGGATTTGTGAATCAGCCATCTTTGGCTTTAATAATTGGTGGTAAGAAGCTATTATACAAATGAAGAAAGTCAATAGCTTTTTTGGTCTTGGGTAGTCTATAACAACTAGCATTTATGCATCGTTTGATATTAAGAGAATAGGTGCACAAATTACAGTGGGTTTCGATTCAAGACCATGAAATAAACCATTTAGAACAGATATGTATTGTTTATTTTTCTATATCATTTGATTTTTGTTTTTTTTCTCTTCTTTTTAATTCTTCAACCTTTTCTCTTTCTGTTCCTTCAAACTATATGTGCTCAAATTAATTTGTGAGTACATCGATATAATAAGCATTGACCTTATTTTCAAAAATCAAATTATGACATCAAATTTCACAAAAGGCTTCTTCTGAATGGCGAAAATTTTAAGCGACCAATTCTGGATCAATAACTTTTCCTTGTATATTCAAATACGTATCAAAATGGTCAATTGGCAAAGTGATTCCAACAAGCTTACCAGACAATGTTACTATGTTTCTTTCAACTGGATTATACTTTGATTGACTCAAAGCATATATTCGTATACTTAAGAAATCCAAATTGAACTTCTTGAAAAGCTAACAATAGGCTTTTATATTTTTTAAATGCCTAGGATTCTCATCTGGCCCTTCATTCACTAATAAAATCCATATTGGCTTAATTGTTTCATTCGTCTTTAATATATCATCATATTGAGAATTTGAAGCAAGGCTTTTTAGATCTTGCGTATGCGTAAGTAAAATGTGCCAAAAGACTATTGGAGACGTATAAAAATTACTAACTTTTCTGTTTGAAATTCGTCATTAGATTCGTTTGGATTTATAATTAAATATACTAATAGGATTAATTTTTATCTGAATCCTATAGGAAAATCATGATCTATTATAGTAATAGGTTTATTAATAGATTGCAATATGCGGAATATACAACCTATTGCAGTTACTTCAAGACTGATCTTCACCTTGTTATCTTGAGAGATGATAACTGAAACATCAGCAAAAGTACTAGCAAATTGCTTTATATCTTTTACTAATATGAGGCAATAATGGCTATTAGGATATTCACATATCTCAGTATACGAAACTCTAGCAACCGTAATCCATGCTGGATAATAGTATGCTTTATAACGATTGAGTTTGATTGATAGGATAAAAGATAACTTTTCAATATAGTTTTCACCATATAAATTTTGTACTTTTCTTCAAGATTTTTACACAGATGTTTTATTATCTGAAATTTAATAGCCTTCTTTCATCATTTTGCATTAGCTGATCTAAATTTCATACAATCGTATATATGTTTATGTAAATCTGAATATTTGAAAAGAAACAGTGACTTCTCAGGTTTATCGTAATGGACAACCTCTTTGTTTTCAATAAGTTGTCTTAAATTTTTTCTTTACAATATTGGATATATATAACATTTCTTTTTAACTTGATAACTTTATTTTTATTAGATTTAACTTCATCTCACAAGTTTTCTATTTTTTGATACATGTCATCACAAATTTGAGTATCACTGGTAATTTGTAAATCTGCTTATATTTGCAAATTTTTTTCAGCTATTTGAACAGTATCTACTGTCCTTCTTTAAGCTGAAACATTAGCAGAAATTTTTGGTAAAGAGTTTACTGAACGAATAGTGAAAGGGAGAAAGAAGAATTCATTTTTTCTGTAAGTATAGAATGTCTATATTTTATTGATTATATGTTATATAGATTAAGTAGTATAGCCATATAGTTTCAAATTACTTTATCAATATCATCAATGCTCTTTTTCTTAATGTTATTCCACTCATTTATGGTTTCTTGACAAACAACAGCATGATCAGGAGTATAGTTACTTGTTTTTACCATAACACTATACACATATACATTTGTAAACTCCTGATATTTATTAGTTAGTAAATCATATATTAGATTTTTATTAAATTTAGGGTTAAGAAAAATGTTTGACGACTCATTTTTAATATTTGGGGTAAAATATCAATATGTTTTGAAAAGAATTTTTTTTGAGTGTAAAATACTAAATGCAAAATAAGCATGTTGAATTTTAATTAAAACCATAACTAATTTTTGGAAAGGATCATCACAAACTTTAATAATGAATTTTTTTTCAAATTTAAGTGTTAGATTTAGATTATAATCATTTTTTTAAACTATAATAAATTATATCAAAAAAATTTTTTTTGATCACTTTGATTACTTTATTTTATTGGATATCAGGGATGTGTAATTTTCAAAAGCAATTTTTTGTCTAAAAAATCAAAATTTTTGAAGGGCAATTACTATATTATTGTACCTTTGATAAACTTTAATTGCAATTAGATTTATTGATTGTCAAACAAAATTTTAATTCAGATTGAAAGAAATTTTATGGGTTTCTATCAGATATATAAAATCATATCACGTAATTCTGTAGCATATCTTACCTGAAGGAGGAAGGGTAGGCGCTTATATTAACATAATATTAGGTAATATCTGATAGTATTCTTAATGATATATTATTTATTTTATTAATTAATATATGATTTTAATATTTTAATATTTTTAGTCTTCAAAAGCATTTGATATGAGCAAATTAAAAGCAGAACTTACATATAATTATCATATTATTCCTGATTTATTATTAATAATTACACAAAATATTACAACAAATGTTAAATTTAAAAAAAAAATATATTAAAAAATTTAAAAAATGATAATAATATATTAATAGAAGATAATGATTAAGGTTGTTGGATAAAATCCAAGTTTAAACAGACATCTAAATAATAAAGGTAAAATTTAGTTAAATTATATTAAAACCTTATTAAAAAATCTGCGAAATTCAGAAAAAGGTAAAACTATATCAAAACTTATAAAAATGGTGAAATTATATCAAACACTTAGTAAAAATTTAGCGAAAATAAAGGTTTAGACGTTTAGCAAAATCCAAAATGAATTTAGACAAGCAACCTTACATATGACAATCTTTATGAAAAAATAGAAAAATCTAATAAAAAATGAATTAAAATAATGGCACAATTAGCTGCATTTAAAAATAAATTGTACCTTATGATTTAAAATTTGAATCTAACAGTTTACTAATGATATGATGGTATTAAAAGTCATAATCATATTTCTCAATTTGCTATAAAACTTTTCTTAATAACTTCACATATAGTTGCATGTGAAAGAATGTGATTATCTTTTAGATGGTTTTATGAAAAGCATAAAATTAGACTTTGCTTAGAAAAGGTTGAAAAAATGCAAAAATTAGCTACGTTTTATTTTATAAATGCAAAAAAGAACTGCTATCTTACGACATCCATGTCGACAAATAATATCTACATATAAAAATTTGACAACACTTTTAGCAGTTGCATCTCTTACTGCTCTGACTTCTGGCCATTTAGTGAGATAATCAATTGCGACTATAATATATTTGTTTCCTCTACTAGTTCGTGGTAAAGGTCCAACAAAATCTATTCCAATTCTATAAAAAGGTGAATCTACTGGAATAGGATGTAATTCATTCTTATCTTTAGGTCTTCATCTTCATTGACAAGCATCACATGATTGAACATATGTTCTAATATTTTCGTACATTTGAGGCCAATAGTATCTAGTACAGATTTTGTTAAACATTATATCGGTTGAAAAATGTCCAGCAGTTATATCATTATGCATCATATAAAGTATTGCTTCTAACTCTTATACTTTAATTACTCTTAATAATTTTTCTGAATTATTTCTTTGTTCTTTGTATAGTAGGTCATTTTTAACTTTAAAGAATTTTGATTGTCGCTTTAATTTGGTAATTTCTTGGGAATTAAATGTAAGAGAAAAGTATTTGAAGTTAAATATATATAGAAATTATTATATTGTGTAGTTTCACTTATGTTTAAATGATTTTTAAGCTGCCTATCACAATGTAGACACTTTTAGCTTTCACTCAAAAAAAAATTGTAATATAATAAAATGTTTTGATAAAATAAAAGGGGTATTTTAATAAGAAGAAGGAGTCATTAAGGAATCAATATTTTCAAGAGATTCATAAAGTTATGCAAATGCATTTTCTTGTTATACTAAAATAGGTAAAGGTCATTAAGTAAATAAGTTGGATCCATATCAGGTTAAATTTTTCCAAGTCCATATCCAACTATACAATCATGAGCAATAGTTTCATATAATAAATTTCTTTTCATATTTTGCAATAAGTGTGAATATGGTGGTTTTCTGTATTACATGCGAAAGTACATTATGATCCTCCTTTTACAATCGGTTGGTTTACAATAACTTGTTTGACTTTTATATTGCTTTGATAAATTTTCTCCATTTTATTTTTAGGGCTTTCATAACTAATTACCGTGATTAATAAAGTATTGGAAAATTGTTGCATCAATTCTTCTTTGAACTAACGTTTTTCATCATTTTTGGATTCAGTTTCTGAAGAAATATGCCATTCACTTTCTTTTTCACTTGAGGTATCATTATTCCATTGAGATTTTTCCTCAGAATTAGGATCGATTATTCTAATCATAAAACATTCATTGGGTTGTTCTTCATCTTTATCATACATTCGAGATAAGGCATCTGCATTAGCATTATGCTTTCCTACTCTATGTTCAATAGTAAAATAGTATTGTTATAACTCTATTATCCATCTTGCATGTCTTTCTTTTAGCATTTTGGATGTCTTTAACCATTTTAACCCTACATGATCAGTTACCACTGTAAATGGTCGACTAAGATAATAATGAAAGTATTTAATAGCCCAGACAATTGCTAAATATTCTAGATCAGTAATTGGATAATTTTCTTCAGCCTTATTGGTAGATCGACTAGCATATGCAATTACAAATTCTTTTCCTAGTTTCTTTTGAGCTAGAATAGCTCCTAATCCCTTCTTCAATGCATCAGTATATAAAGTGAAAGGTATTTCAAAATCTGGATATTGTAAGATAAGTGATTTTATAAGTCTTTCCTTTAGTCTATCAAATGCATGTTGTTGTTTATCTTCTCATTTGAATGGTTGATCTTTTTTTAATAACATGATCATTGGTTTTGCATACCTTAAGAAGTTTTTAATAAACTTTCGATAGTAACCAAATAATTATAATGCAACACATAGTTGAGTTAAATTCTTGAGTTCTGAAAAATTTTTGATCTTTATAATTTTCTCTGGATCGGGTAAAAGTCCTCCTTGACTAACTTTATGTCTAAGAAAAGCGAGTGAGGGTTGACAGAAATAGCATTTCTTTAATTTTATTGATAATTATGTATTTCTCAATACTTGAAAAACTTGTTGTATTTGATTGATATGTAATTCAAAAGAACCTTTTGTGTAAATAATTACATTATCTAGGTAGACTACCACAAATATTCCAATATAATCTTTCAAAACCCAATTCATTAGTCATTGAAAGGTGTCTAGAATATTGTTTAATCCAAAAGGTATAAACAGAAATTCATATAATCTGTGTGTAGTAATGAATGCAATTTTTTTTATATCTTCAGGATGCATAGCTACTTGCTAATATACACTGTCTAAAACCAATGTGGTAAACTAATAAGCTCCACCTAAAGAGTCTAATAAGTCATTGATCTTTGATAAAGGATAAGCATCAATTATTGTTACTGCATTTAATTTGCGATAATCCACACAAAGTCTTTTATTGCCTCCTTTCTTTCTAACTATTATAACTGGTGAGGCCATAGGCTATAGGATAGTTAGATTATCTTATTTGTTTCCATTTGTTTTAATTCTTCATTTAAAAATTTGACATTTTTGGATTTGTTCTATAAGGTTTTTGGGCAATTGGCATTGCATTTCCAATATAAATGCGATGCTGTATTTCCATGATTCTTCCAATTTCTGTTTGACTTTTTGCACAAATATCAGTATATTCGACTAAAAGATCTTGGAATAATTGTTGTTGATCATTATCCAATGATCCTGTTTGCTCGAATAGAATGATTTCCTGTTCTGCAATAAATTTTGCTACTTTAGCAAAAAAGATTGCTGGATTAATTTCTTTAGAGCTATTTTCTATTTCTTCATTATCAGTATCTTCTTCTGAATTGATTGGAGAATATTAGTTATTTCGGAGGTTAAATTCTAATTCATCAGTGTTATCAGATTCTGATTCAAAGCATTCATCAGATAGGTAGATAGGATATTCTTCTAAGAGTTTATCCTCATAATCATACTCTTTATCAGTTTCCTCTTCTTCTTGAGTTACTACTTTAGAAGTTTTTGTGAAAGTTATAGGGATTCCTATGACATATTTCCCTTATTTAACAGTTAAAATAGATTATTTCTAATTCATGTTAGCATTAGTTTCTCTTAACTAATCATTTCCAAGAATAAGAATCTCATCTTTTGATTCCAAAACTTGGATGGATGTTAATATTTGGATTTTCCAATATTAACAGATACATTATCAATAATTCTGAGAGAACAAGTTCTGGCTCCATTTGCAGTTACTATGATCATTTTTGAAGAGCAGTGGATTACAAGTCCAAGTTTGTCTAATAATGACTTAGTGATAATACTGATAGCAGATCTGCTATTGATAATTGCAACTTGTACTTTTATCCAATTCAAAGGGTACATTTAGCAGCGGTGGTTGGTTTGCCATCACTTTCTGCTAAATTTGCTTCTTTAGCATCCTTTTTTCTTGAACTTCTAACAGATCGAACTAATTCTAATCGATATTTAGGAATTGCATGTGCTGCTTATCCTACAGATAGTCCACATGGTAGATTTTGTAGATATATAGAAACATTGAATTCAGTTAATTGTTTGATAGGTACTGGTAACAATCTTCATCAGGATGCTTTTTCTGTTTATTTAGTAGCTATTAGCTCAG